GGCAACGTTGTCCCAGTGAGGGACAGGACTTAAGGGAGGCAGGAAGAGGGGAGGGGGCAGCAAGACGAGGAGGGCGCTGCGCCCCCCACTCTATGAGACATAAGACCTGAAGGAAAGGATGGGTGTGGGTTGGGTTTTGTAAAGAGAAGAAAGCTGAGGGCACTTAGTTGGATGCTCTCTATGTTTTCTCAATGAAGCAGAAAATGAGGGCGTCTCCAGAGAGGGTGGGGGTGGAGCCGGAGGGGAAGCAGAGCCAAGTTGGAACAGCAGCTGTGGGGACTAGGGAGTGGGCATTATGCCAGCATGAGCACCAGGCTGCCAAGTAGGGTAAGGCTGCTTCCTCCACGAAGACTCCAGCCATGGGCTTGTTTGGGGGTGGGTCTTGGCCTTGCCCAGCCCTTTGTGTGGTCTTCAGTGTCATCACAGTGTCCTGTGGTGCCGGGGACTTGTCCCTGAGGCTGTGCCCCTCAGCCCAAGCAAAGTCCTAGATTCATTCATTCCCTAGAGCTGCTGGGGCCGAATACCCCAAACTTGCTCATCAGAGCATGCACTGCCAACAAGTCGATTCCAACTCATAGCAACCCTATAGGACAGAGTAGAATTGCCCCCCGGGGGTTCTGAGGGTGTAAGTCTTTATGGGAGTAGAAAGCCTCGTTTTTCTCCCATGAATTGGTGGGTGTTTTAGAACTGCTAACCTTATAGTTACAGCCCAACTCGTGCCCACTACACCACCAGGGCTCCTGGTTCTGGAAGCTCAGAGTGTCAAATCGCGTGTTAGCTGGGTTGTTCCTTCTGACAGACAGCTTCTCCTGAGCTCCTAGCAACTGTTGTCAGGCCTTGCCTTTCCAGGATTTGCCCCCATTGTTGCACATTGTCCTTCTCCTGCCTGTGTCTGGCCACCTTTTTTGTAGGATGCCGCTCTCTGGGGTTAGGGCCCACCCTGGTCTGTAGAGAACTCATTTAACTGACAACTGACCACATCTTCTAAGATTCTATTTTCAGACAAGGTCAAATTCATAGACATCAGTGGCTTGGACTTAACATATGTGTCAGGGAAACACAATGGGATCGATAACAGTGTACCCTGTGACACACCTCCACCTCCGCCCAAAAAAGATTTTGAAAGCCATGTCCTTCCCACATGTCGAATATACCAAGCCCTTCCCCTGTCTTAATACACTCCAGTGTCAACTCTCAGCACTTCGTCTGTGTACCTGTGATACCTAGGCTGCAAGTTACCTGCTAGGACAGGTATAAAACCCAAACCAAACTCCCGCCCATTGAGTTGATGCTGATTCATAAGGACCTGATTCATATAAGATAGGTATTCCCACTCCAAGTGTGAGACACTGGGGTGGGGGTGGGCCACATGCAGCCCGCCTAGGACATTTATCTGGCCCGCTGGGTGTTTTTACCCCATTTGTTTTTTTACTTCAAAATAAGATATGTTCAGTGTGCATAAGAATTTGTTGATAGTTTTTTTTAAACTATAGTTCAGCCTGTTTAAAAAATTTGAGGACCCCTGGTCTATAGAGTTGCTGGAGTTCAGAATGGAGCCCTGGTGGTGTAGCGGTTGTTAGGCTGCAACCCTCACGGTCAGCAGTTTGCAACCACTAGCCACTATCTCTATAAAGAGTTGGTGTTTCGGAAACCCCAATTCTACCCCATTCTAGCCTGTTCTAAAGGGTCACTTTGAGTGGTGGCGAGCATGGTTTGGTGTTTTGGGATAAGTCAGCCGGGGTTTGTATCATTCCAAGTGTCTCTCTGACTGTGGGGTGACTGCTCTCGTCCCTGTAAACATCATTACGAGTGTTGATTCTGACTCATCGCGAGCCTCTAGGACCACACAGAACTGCCCTCGTGGGCTTCCTAGGCTGTAAATCTCTACAGCATTAGAAAGCCTCATCTTTCTCCCGGGGTGGTTTCAAACTGTGCACCTTAGCCACCAGGCCTCTCCCTGGCCAAACACTGTGCAGAAAGGATATCCCACGCTAGCCTTGCATTTCTAAGATCAAATAGGACCGAGCTCAGCTGAAGAGCAGAGGTAAGGTGAGAACTGGGCATCCTCCAACTGACCAATCTCCCATGGCCCAGCCCCCCAGGTTTGCCACTCTCGGACACCTCCGAAGGATCCCAGCATTCTATGCGAAATATCTGATTGCTGGCTAAAAACTCACCTGGCTCTTCATCTGCGCCTCGAGGCACCTGACTTTTGTTTTTATAAGCCGACCTGATTAGTTAGCAGTTGTCCTTGGTGGTTACTGTTGGCTGTTGTCAAGGTGGCCCCAGCCTACAGGGACCCCATCATGCACATCACAATGAAGTGCAGCCTGGTCGTTTGCCAGCCCCACGATCGGTGTCAGACCAGACCTGTGATTCCCTGATTTTCAGAAGTAGGTCACCAGGCCTCCTAGCAGCCCACAAGGCTGTGTGTAAGAGGTGTACTGGGTCCCACCCAGAAACTTTAACCAAAACTCACTGCCATCGAGTTCTTTCCAACTCATAGTGACCCTATGGGTCAGGGTAGAACTGCCCTTGGAGGTTCCGAGACTGAAATCCTTTACAGGACTAGATAGCCTCGTCTTTCTCCTGAGGAGCATCTGGTGGTTTCCAACTGCTGACCTTTCCCCTCGTAGCTCAGTTTGTAACCACGATGTCACTGAGGGCACTCCTTCTGCCAGTGCTGAGTTTCAAACCCAGACACGTGGTTCTAGGCCCTGCGCATGTAAATTGCCCCACTCCACAGGGACCTTCAGAACATTTGTGGGAGAGAAAGAAAATCCCATTCTTTCTCAATCCCATTTTTCCACCTACATTTTTTGAAGCTCCCCCGTGAAAGGCTCACTCAGTTCTAAGAAGACTTCTTTAAAATGGATTTTGACTTTTATATGTAAGTTTCAAGTAGGCAGCCCTCCACCCCAGCGTGGGGTTAGAGATGGCAGGCAGGTAGGAAGGCTGTGGCGTGGATGGATGGATGGATGGATGGATGGATGGATGGATGGATGGCCTGGAGGCAGAGGCAATGCTACCTTCAGACGCAGGATTCCTGATGGAGCATTGTCAAAAGAGCCATTTCCAGACGCTCCATTTCAATCTGTACTGATTGGTAGGAGACACAGGATATTGCCTGGAACAAATATCCAGTTACCGCAGACACAGCACATTCCCATTTGTGTCAAATTTCGTATCAGTTATGACTCATTTGCAAGTGGCCGAAAACCTAACTCTAACCATCTTAGCAGAAAAAAATGAAATGTCTTGGCTCCTCTTGGATGAAAAAGCCAGTCATGGGAGGATACCTGTGTTAGTCTGGGTACTTTAGAGAAACAAATTCACAGAAACCCATGTATAAGAGAGAGTTTTATATAAAGGGTAAGTGCACATCAAGAAAACATCCCAACCCAGTGCTGCCCAAACCCACAAGTCCAACATTAACCCATATGTCTGACACCAATCCACAAAGCCCTCCTCCATCTCACAAAACACACACTACGACGCTGACTGCAGGAGGAAAGCCGAATCAGTGAACGTGTAAGCATCTCAGCACTGGCACGGCTGCTCCAGCATCCAGGGCTGCATCGGGGTAGGTCCATGTGGCTTCTCCTTGGAGATTTCTTGCAGGAAGTGAGCCTTGCTGGCTGAAGCAGGGAACTGCTAAGGAAGCTGCACCCAGGTGCAACCATCACAAAGCAAGAGACCCGAGAACTAGAAAGGCAAGGCTCACGGAGCCATTTATCCCTCCTCCCTTCAATTAACCTCACATGTGTTTATCGGCCAGGTTGGCACAATAAACTACCTCAATACCTCTTCCCACAAAACTGAAACCCAGGGCCACCAGTCGCTTCTGAATCATAGTGGCCCTACTTGGTACTGGTACCTGGCACTAAGTCCAGCTCTCTGGTGAGGGGTGTTGGCAGTACTGGGCTTCAGGGTCAGAAGGCCTGGAGCTCAGAGCAGACTCCTGATCCAGGTCCCCGCAGGAAACTACCATATTGAAGCAGGAACCCGTCCCAGAGGTGGAACCAAGCTGGCAGACATTGGGGAGTTGGAAGACAGAATGCTAATAGGGGTCAAATTGGATCCTTAGCTTCTGCAGGACATGGTCTTATCCCTGTGCATGTTCGTGTCCGGAGGGCCTTCTTCCTGGCGTGGCTGTGCTGCCTACGGTAGCCCTCTAGCTCCTCCTGGTTCTTGGCTCTCAGATCTTAGGAGCAAATGAGTTGTTACTAGGGTCTCATCTGTTGGTTTGAACTGCCCACCTTGCAGTTAGCAGCCCAATGTGTAAGCCATAGCACCATCCCCGGGACTCCTTGGATGCTAAGGGGATGTGCATTTGGGCCTCAGTCTCGGTCTCTGCGTGATGGAAAAAGGACAGAGGTCCACTTGGATTGGCCTGACCTCAGGCCCAGACACTGTGACAGGGGGATTGCCAGCCTTCCATCCGCCTGGTCACAAAAGGGACTCGGTGCTGTTATCAAAGTGCCAAACGTGACAGGAGTGAGTAGATGCTCACCACCCTAGGTGGTCTTAAGAGGACTGGGCTGCATCAGGCACTCACTCTGCTCATCAGATTCATCCTAACCAACATAAGGAATCAGATTTATCCTAACCAACATAAGGAATCCCAACAGAGCCCTGTCTGGGCTCACTCTTGGCACCTACATTTTGCTGGAGACCTGGCCCCTGACCCCTATTAGCGTCCTATCTTCCAACTCCCCAATGTCTGCCAGCTTGTTCCCTGCCAACCCCCCACCTCCGGCCCTCATGTAGGACCCTCTGGAGATGCCAACTCCCCCCCTCCCTGCCCGAGCAACCACTCACTCCACACACTGCTGTCCCTTTGATCAAAGCCTGCCTGTCCCCAGGGTCAGCACCTCCACCCCAGTCTCTCCTCTTAGCAGGCCACTTACTTCCCCCCAAACCAGCAGCGCTCCCTGGCTGCTCTCAAGCCGGCACAAGAGCCCAGGGCCCTTCAGAGACATTCATAAGACACAGGCAAGATTGGTGAATGGTGTTTTATTTTCCTTTGTCAATCGGATCTTTAGCTTCTGCGGGCCGTGGCCTTGCCCCTGCGCCGGTTCTTGGGCTGCTGGAGCGCCTTTTTCCTGGCGAGGCCACGCTGCCGACGGTAGACAGCTAGCGCCTCCTGGTACTTGGCTCTCAGGACCGCCGCCCTCTGCTCATAGGGCTGCTTTTCCACGTCCGTCGTGGTGGACCACATCTTCCCGGTGGCCTTGGCCACCTGGACCACCGACCAGCTGGGGTTCTCTCTCTTCAGCTGTGCGTAGTGCTCCTGGCAGAAGAGGATGAAGGATGACGGAGGCCGCCTGGGTGCCTGGGGGTCACGCTTTCTCCGCTTCCTCCTCTTGCCCACGTAGTTCATCATCTCCTCCTGGTACCGGGCTTTGTCCAGCTTGGCCAGAGCTTCATACTTGGCCTTCTCGTGCTTGGAAATGGACCTCCATTTTTCTGAACACTTCCTAGAGAACTCTTTAAAGCCAAGGTAGGAGTTTGGCTGCTGCTCCTTGAACTTGTTCCTGTAATTCAGCAAAAAGTGAATGTACGATGAGACATTCACCTTAGGCCGTAGCTGGATTTCTTTTCCCATGTTCATCGATCATTTTCTTGCCCCCTGGATTCAGGGACTTTGGACAGCAGAACACTTCTGTCCCCACGCTCCAGGGGCAATCTCGAAGGTCCTTTGCTTGTGGTGAATATTTCGCTCTGCCAGAGCCGCGGCTGGGGGTAGGCCTTTTCAGTGGTGGTGGCATTGTTGGGTCAAAGAGTGGACTGTGACATCACCCACAGCCCGGCCAATCCCGGCCAGGGCCCACGGGTGTTGGCACCCAAGCACTCCTACAGATTAGACGAGGGAGGGTCTTGTTTTGCAGCTCTTGAAAGAGGCTCTGAAAAGCTCCGTCCCCTGGAAAGATGTCTTTTTGGCTTCCTGGAAGCAGCGGGCTGTGCTCGACTGCCACACACCAATTGCTGCCAAGTTGACCCCCAACTCATGGCAACCCGTGTGTGCTAGAAAGGAGTAGAATGAGGCTCCCAGGGGTGGGGATGTCCACAGCTGGTCTTGGGCGGGGGGCGGGGACTAGATGGCCGTGTCTTTTTCCCAAGGTGCCTCTGAGTGGCCTTGAATGCCCAACCTTGGGGGCTTAGCAACCAAGCACATGAAACACGCAGCACCCCCCCAGCCGGCGAGGGCTTGGAGTCCCTCAGGTGTACTTTTGAGCCGTGGGGTCCGCCTTCCCCCACCGTGAGACTGTCAGGGCATGGTGGCTGGGTGGACGGCTCCCGAGCTGTCAGGACACAAAGTGAAGCCTTTCTGTTTACCTTGAACAGTGGCGGCTCGTAAGGCACGAAGGGTTTAGTAGTAACTCTAAACATAATCAGGTATGACAGCTGTGACTTGGTTCCTGTCAGGACGAAGTTGTCTAATTTAAAACCTGAGCACTTGGGCTATGAGTCTGAACTCTTTGTTTCTCTGAACCCCGAGAGTTTTCTAATTATACTTGTGTCCACAAGGGGCTAGGGCTCCCCACTCTTCAGGAGGCCTCCTAGCTCCCCGCCCCCCAGGGTCCCCTGTTGCTGGGGTTTTCGCTTAGAGGCGAGCAGCTGCACTCCAACCAGCTGGATTCTGGCTCTTTGCTAAAGCAGTTGCCAATGGTCTCAGAGCCTGCTCACTGGATGGGAAAGACGAGAGGGCGAACCTTTGGACCTTGTGCTAGGTACTTGCAGGGTCAAGTCCAACTAGATGGTGACTGATAGCTCCAAACTTACAGGACTAGAAAACAGAGTGTCCTTAATGTGAGACCCTCAAAGAGTGACTTCTTGAGGGACCCCAGCCCCCTCGCAGGTGGGAGTCAGGATTCTGATGGGCGGCTCTGGCTTCGTCTTCTCAGCCCAGAATGGTTTCCTTGGGGCCTGTGGGTGCGGATGGGCAGCCCAGCAGCTGGGTCTGACCAGCAAACTTGCCTGAGGCTGTTCCACCTCCTGATTTTTTACCAAGTTCCTTCCATGGCTCCAAGATTAACCTCAACCCCCATCATCTGTCAAGGAAAGATGAGACTCGGTGAGTCTTTGGGTCTGAATTCTTGGCACTGTTTTGCCAGGGGGTTGGACTCCCTTCGCCCTTCCTTTCCTGCAGCCGAGCCTGTGGTTTTGCATCTGAGAAATGAGCAGGGAAGGCTTCCAGGTGACAAGCTACACTCTGTGACTGGTGTTGGGTTCTGTGGATGACCAGAAGGATATGCGACTCTGTCTTCAAAGCAGTACAGCCAGAATGTACCTTAGAAAGGAGGGTGGGGCCGCCTCATTTGGGAAAGGCCATCATTCTTAATAAGCAGAGGAGCAGCGAAAGAGAGGTCAGCCCCCGTGGAAATGGATGGGCACGCTGCAGCAATGAGGGCCCAAGCATGTCGACAATGGTGAAGGTGGCGCAGGACCAGGCAGTGTTTCCTGCCGCTGTTCACAGAGAGGGGCTCCAGGGCTCAGAACCGACCCAAGGTCACCGAACACCACGGACGATACACTGGGAAGAACGAGCTGCCGACCTACTAAATCAAATTAACTCACGAAGACCCACGGATCACAGCAGATTCCTGTCCCTATAGAGGGTGGTCTCCAGGGAGTACTGCAAGATAAGCCTCCCCCCCCCCACCCCCAGGTACAACGTCACTTAACATCTTCACAGGCACAGTGGTCACAATGATGGGCTCAGGCATGCCAGGGACTGTGAACGGGTGCCAGGCCAGGTGGTGTTGGTCAGACGTGGATGCACTGTGCGTTCAGTTGATTCAATGACAACCAATAACAACAGGAGCTATCCGGCGCCTATTAAGGGAACTTGTCTGGGCAAGTGACCATGGCTGAGGCTGGGGCTTGGCCAGTGGGGACTGAATGATCTGGGGACATGCCTCAGTCCAGGCAGTTTCCCCAACTCCAGCTCTCCCACCTCCTTTTGGACTTTAGCTGAGGTACAGAGAAGGGGGGCACACAGCACCTGCCGTAGATGGGATGGGATATGAGGTCCAGTTTGTCCAAAGTCCTCGCAGGTAGATTGGCGGGATTCTGCTCAGGCTAAGAAACGCAGTAGCTGGTGTGTGTGTGCTCACATGCCCACAGTCTCCAACCCTCTCACCCTGATCCAATCTCAGGAGATCACTGCACAGCCACACTCTGGAGGTTAGCAGGTGCAGGAAGAGGCCTAGGTAAACGGTAAACTCGAGATCAATCTTTTGGGAATGCCACATCTGTTGGTGCTGTTAGCTGTCTGTGCGGGGACTTCTACTCCTGACAGCTCTGAGTTCAAAGAGGGCCTCATCACCTCATGCTCTCCCGTCCTCACAGTCACCAGTCCTTTACTCCAGCTGTTGTGCTGATCGTCCCACAGAGCACTCGCACCCCCTCGCTGGCCCCCCATCCCACCCAGCAGGTGTCCTCCTCCCGAGACTGGATCTGGGAGAGGGAGGCGGACACAGTTCTCTTAGGACCTAAAGGCTCATCGTTGGATACTTTTAGGAAGTAGATATAGGCCTTTCCCCCCTAACTTCTTGTTTTAAAAAACCAAAATGATTGTAATAAAACACAGCCATTGCCAAGTTGATTCCAACCCATGGTCAGTTGTAATGGACAGACGGACCGTTGCCACGCGGTCACTTCTGACACATGGTGGGTGACCCTGTGTGTGTCAGAGTGCAGCTGTGCTCTGTGGCCTCCTCAATGGCTTTTTTGCAGGAGTAGGACGCAAGGCCTTTCTTCCAGGGCACCTCTGGGTAGACTGGAAGCGACAACCTTTCAGTTAGCAGGGGCAAACAGTTTCCTCAGGGACCCAGGGCAAGTGAAGAAGGCTGCCTTCGAAAACAGTATTAAGTATGCTCTAGTGGCACGGTGGTTACTTCCTGCGCTGCCAGCCACCAAGTCAGCAGTTCTAAACCTCTAGCCGCTGCTCCTCAAGTGAAAAACAGGGCTTTCTACTCTCATGAAAGTGACAGTCTTGGGTCCCCCTCGGGGCAGTTCTGCCCCATCTATGTGGTCGTTAGGAGTCGGCATCAATTCGATGTCAGTGAGTTTCTGAGTTTGGCTATGTGTTCTAGGAGGGCCACCTGAGGTGTCTCCTCCGGATCCCTTGTCCAGTCTTCTCCGCCCCTCTCTGCCCCACAAGACTTCCCGCCAGACGCCCCATCATTGGCTCCTCTGCTCTTTGGTTTCCATTTTAAGTTGACCAATAGGGACCACCCCTCAACAGGAGATTCAGGGAGGAAGAGCGTGAGCTCCAAGCATTTGTTCTTCTGGTTCCTTTATTGCGGGGTCACTTTGACCTCTCTGTCCCCCAACTGGAGGTCTCTGCTCCCCTCAAAGGTGTTCTCTCTAAAGGCCTCTCCTTCCAGGCTCCCTAACTGCTGCCTCTCCTTGTGCCCTCCTGTGTAGGGTGGCAGTAGCTCTGCCTCTTGTGACATTCCTACATCCTGCCCTCACCTTAGGAACCCTGGGAGCTCGGTGGGTTTCACTTTGGGCTACCAACCGCAAGGTCAGCAGTTCCAACCCATCTGCTGCTCCAAGGGAGCAAGATGAGGCTTTCTGCTTCCATAAAAGTCAGAGCCTGAGAAATCCACAGGGGCAGGTCTGCTCTCTCCAGAGGGTCACCGTGAGTCATAATGGACGTGATGGCACTGATTTCTGTTTTTCCTTCTCGCCCTTGTAAGTAGTCTCCTTATTAAACACACCTTGAACCATTCTCATTTGAGAGGGCCACCTGGTTCCTGCTGGGACCTGCTGGGTGCACCAGGTTTCTAGCTTCCCATCTTGGGCAGCCACGGAGGTGGCAGTATAAAGTAAGTGTGGCCATCAGCTCAAAGTAGAAGGCCGGTAACCCATCTGGAGACCCGGGTGCCCAGCAGGCACATAACACATAAGGTGCCTAGTTTGCAGTGTAAGTCCACATGGTGCAGGGAGAGATATCTAAGAGCCCGGCCGCTGGCCAGGAGTGCCCATTATGTTAGGCTTTGTGAGCCATACTTTGTGTCACAATTCTACTGTGTCAGTCAAAGATCACCATGTGCAATATGCAAATGAATGAGCCTGCTTGTCTTCCACGAAAACTTTATTTACAAAAACAAGCAGTTGGCCAGATTCGATACAAGGGGTTGTAAGTTTGTTACCCGGATCTAGAGCTATCAGATCAGGACATTTTACTTGCTGTCTAAAGTAAGAAAGATGCTTGAGACATGACTCAGCACACCCACACATAGTTCATAACCGTAATAATACTCATGACGATAACTAATATTTATAGAATTTTCAATATACTGTGTCAGTCTGGCTTCTGTTTACACACACACACACACACACACACACACACACACACACACACACGAGTTCCAAAGGTTTGTGGAAAAATTACATTCTCTTTTAGCTCCATTTTACATAAACTTTTTGAAGCCCTCTCAAGTGTGTGTGCACACGTGTACATTGAGTATACATGTATCCCGTTGGGTTGCAAACCACAAGGTTAGTAGTTCAAAACCACCAGCATATCCTCAGGAGAAAGACAGGCCTTTCTACTCCCGTCAACAGTCTCAGAAACTCACAGGGGCAGTTCTACCCTGTCCTGTCGGGTCGCTGTGAGTTGGCATAACTCGATAGCTCTAAGTTTGGTTTTTGTAATATGCATATGACTATGTATGTGTTATG